TTATGAATGAGAATATCGGACCGGCAACAGAGCATTTTGATTGGTTGATTTTAGTTATTGGCCCTCTGACTGCCCGAGTCGTGTAATAAAAACAAGTATGCCCTTTTTTATGAAAGATTTTTGCACTTTTAACCGATCACCATGCTGTTTTCTGATTGATTTTGTAGATATCTACTTGACAACCGTTGCCAAGTATTTTCAGGCGGCGCTTTATTCCGTTTGTATGTTTTCGCGCGCACGTTATCGATGTCAAGTGTGCATGTATTTTTGCGCATGAAACTCGTTGTAGATGCCATAATGGTTTCCACTTATATTTTTGTTTTGATTGACATTACTTCCTTTAATTTGCCTTGAGTTTGACTTAACGAAACAGCTTACATAATGCTCTCAATAGTCAGTTTGTCTAGACGCCAGTCCTGAGTCCATTCCAGAGTTCATTCGGAAATTTCCAGCTAGCCTCTCAATGCTGGCAGCAAAAGAGAGCCGGAAAGCCGAAAACCGAAGAATTTGTTAGTGAAAGTGTAGAAACCGACTCCAAGTATATGTAGCAAAATTTGGAAAACCGAGCTTTTCGACGCCTTCATACCCTGTCCTCATCGCCTTTCTTCCCCATATAATTATAACGTGTCTGGTTTAGCCAAAGGAGGATGGCCTGGGTAAGAGAATGACTCACCCCATCGAAACTGACTGAAGCTACTTAGGACCTCATTTCTCCTCGTGTTTTTGTTTCCTTTTCGTTTCGGGCAAAAATGGCTGCGTCAAGACATTGTGTTAATGAGGAGGAACTGAACCTCGTGTTTAAGCGTCTTGGGGAGCGAGGAAAAGAAGCAGAGTTGGTTAAAGAGCACGAGAATTTTCTCAGTTATCTTTTGGCGAAGCTCGCGGAATGTTCGACCAAATTTACCGAAAAGAAACTTGCTGTCCGACCGTATGGAAGTGCAGCTGAAGATTTGAAGTACCTATCGCTAGACGATTATGGAGATATGGACATAATGGTATTCCCGACCTTGGATAGCTTGATGATTCCCCAAAATATGTTCGAATATTTACCAGAAAATCCCCTCCATGTGAGGATCAAAGCAGGCGACCATCCCGTGTTGCAGTCGTGCCTTGTAGAAGGTACAGAGTACCTTGCTACTTCAGCGTTTAAGAACTTCCATCCTGCTATCTATGGGAGCAAATCTTCGGAATGGTTCGATTATTTAAAAGATGGCTTGCGCATAGGTTCGTCCTCTCTTCAATGGAAGAACAAGAAATCAGGCCCAGCGTTTACGATTGATTGCAAGCAGTGGTTTGGAACGACCCTCGAACAACTGCAAAACATGACTGAGTCAAAGAAGGGGTGTAGTTTGGAAGTGGCTGATTGGGAAGGGCTGGTTAGTGCAATATTCACAGCAAATGGAGTTGAATATACGAGAGAACACGCTTCTGCCTTCGACGAATTACTCAGCCATATGGGTAAATTACAAGCTTCACTATTTGATAGTGGTCCAGATGGATATGTACATGGATTACCCGCTCTCTCTGAACAATTTCTAACAAGCGATTCGATGAAAAGCTACATAGCCCGAGTCCGAGCAACTGAAAATCAATCACAAAACGAAAGTGGAAGTCAGACGGAAGGGATCAGTCATGACGAGTCAAGTGTCACGCAACAAAAGTGTGACAAAGGTGGGAGCAGTTCAGAAATTGCCAATATCGCTCAACAATATCAAAGCGACGCTCAGACGCCTGAGAATAAGGACTCGGAGTCCACTTCCTTTCATGCCGTTGATAACACACGAACCCCGGACGATTTAGGAACTGAAAAACGAAACGAAAGCGAAGGTGCACGTGTGCTTGATGCGACCGAAAACAACTCAAAACAACATGGTGGAGAGGTTCAAGAAGAATCCCGGTCGGCATGGATGAACTCAGGTGAAAGAGAAGAACTGACCTCAGAAGATGGAACAGTAGGTGACAGAAGCAAACATGAGGAGAAATCCGGAGAAAGAGGGAAATTTCATCGAAAACGGTGGATGGATCATTTGACTAGGACAGAAAGTGGAAACGAAGAGCATGGTAACGAAGAGAAAGACTCTATCAAGCAAATGCGTGGAATTGATCTCGTGCCTGCGTTAAAATGTCGAGGATGGCCGAAGGCTTCACAAGATTGGTTCGAAAAAGAGCGAAAATGGCCTTCCGACGAAATGGTAACTAGGATCATTGACGAAGGCTACCACTTGGTTGTGAAGCCTCCAAAGTACAGTAAAGATCCAGATTGCGACTTCAGAATCTCATTTTCTCATGCAGAGTACCTGTTTAGCCAAGAGATGAACGACATGCAACGTGTCTGTTACCGTTCTTTGAAGAAAGTGTACCGTGCTTATCTTTCCAGCCCAGAAGGTTTGGTGTCATTCCACCTCAAGAACCTCTTTTTGCAAACAATAGAGGAGACTGGTGCCGAGATGTGGACCGAGAGCAAGAGAGCCGAGTGTATGATGAAACTCCTCGGAAACCTGCTAAAAGCTTTAAAAGACAAAGACTTACGACATTTCTTCGTAAGATCCTACAACCTTTTTGGTGTTGATTACATTGACAAGCCCGAAAATCTGGCAGCCTTGGCCGAGATGGTGGAGAAGATCATGGAAAATCCGATGGAGTTTACCGAAGCACTGATCCAGCCAAATGGAAAAGATACGAAGCAAGTTGAAAAGAATGAATCGCAACAAAACGGCGAGCGAGCGGTGCCTGGAGGAGCAGCTGAACTGGGAGGCCACACTGACAATCAAGGAAACAAAGAAGTTATGACAGATGCTGTGTTGGACATCCCTCAGCAAAGTGTCAACTTACTTCCAAATTATAGATACCATGACATGCAAGACATGTACCTCCAAGTCGGCAAAGAGTTAGTGGAAAAAGCTTTAAACGGTGATGAAATCCATGATCCTTTTGAAAGGTCCCTGGTAGAAGATCTCAAAAAAATGATAATGAGCCATAGTTTTCAGGCCAAAAGTTTCCGTGAGTTGTTCGAATGTTCCTGGAGCAATGCCTACTACAGGATCTGCCTTAGTACCGAGCTGGAAATGAGGCGCCGAGTGCTTGATGCAATTCATGGTGATGTCGAATTGTGGAAGTACTGCCTGAGCCAGGAAGACTTAGCGTCAGGGAACGAAATAGCCTTAGCCAATCGAATGCTGGATCCATCCAATCAGGATCATTTTGACTTAAGCAACGTACTTCCAGCTGGTGGAATTACACAGTACTTGCGCATGTTCTTCCATGGTCTTGACCACAGGCCACCTCAACCAGCGCGAGTGCAGACGACCCAGGCTGTGGATGATATAGCTTTAGACTGAACTGAACCATTAGTTGGAAAGTGACATTGTTTGTTATTTACTTAAATTGACTGCGGTTGTAATGTACTTTAGTTTCGCAAATGATGCGCGTTCACATAGGACTTAAAAAAGCACAAAAAGTACGTTTTGCCTCTTAATGAAAAGAAATTCGTGCTCTTGATTTTAAGCTTCTTTTTTCTGAATGAACGTGTTTCTAAGTGCAAGGTGATGTTATTCAGTGAATTACACAGATATACTCGGGAAAAAAGAATTTCGAGTACTCCTAAGAGGAGACAATCCTATGACCGTCTGATTAGTACTTCAGACGCTCTATAACTGAGCTCTAGGAGACTCGTGACAGGCTGTGTTTTTGCAGGCAAGTTAACCGTTGATGGGCGTGTAAGACCACGCTTGCTTCCGGCTGCATTGTTCATCTGTTTTTGTTTTTTTCCGCTTGCATTTGAACTGGTTGCAATTATTATTACATTGATTGCATATTGGTTTACTCCCTCTTGGCTAATTATATATCTAACAACAACACAACAACAAGAACAACAATCTTTATTTGAACTCTTTCTTACCTAAAATACACTGTGACATTCGAGCTGATCACTGAAATTAGAGAAGTGGCTACCTGGTATAACCAAAGGGACTAGCAGGGCCAGGCAAAGACAAACAACCAAAATACCAAAATTGTATCCCCCAATTTTAGTTGCTATTTTGTTTCTGGTTGCAAACATCATCTACACATAAAAGCCGTATTTTTGTGAAGGGAGGAACTGTTTATACGTCGAGGTTCTTCGCGTGGAGGAAAGCGCTCTCGGAACAGCGGACTAGTTGAGTATTACCTTGACTTAAGGCTTAAAAAGGAAAAGCTAGAAGTATTTAGACGAGTACACACATGTACAAACACATGTAGAAGGAAAGTGAAAAATGGCCACCAAATGAACACAACAGCTGTTTCGAGGAAGGTTGTGGGCAAAAATGACAAAAGTGCATGCGTAAATCTCGAAACTAAATTTGGCAATCCGGTAACCAGTGAGTTTCAATCAGTCAAATGAATGCTAAAATTCATCAAATCCACAATGCCTTGTCCTAACGATTATATTTTCTCAGATTTCTCTGAAATCCTGAGGACAAGGAATTGTGATGTGAAAACTACATCCAATGCTTTTCGGGTTTGTCTTGTGCACTTTTACACTTTTTTCCAACAACCTCTCTCGAAGCATCTGTGCATTGGTGAGAATTAAGTTAATAAAAATATATGCATTACATCTCAAGGATCTCAAAAATTATAATATTAGTGAACTTTGATAATGTAAGGGTTTATGAGTACATGTTAAAGAAAAACCTTAAGTTTAATTATAACATAACTAAAGCAAAGCGCGCGCTCTGATTGGTTAATTCAGCACCTACTATTTGCCCATGGGTGCATGCTGCTGACGTGAGCAAATGCTAAGACTATTTTTCCGCGCGCGCTTGTTTTTCCTGATCACGTAAGATTTGTTAAATAAAATCAGAGTTAATAGAGGCAACTGGTTATGAAAGCCGAGGAACTTCACACGATAAGAACAATGGGAGCCCTCTGAGGTTGAAGGTACAAGTCACGTGATCGCAAGGTGCACACATTCAGAACAAGATGGCAGATGGAGTAGACGATCCCTTGCTACGGGGAGATGATTTCGAAGTTATTTTAGACATTTTAGAAGGTGATGAAATAGTCAAACAGCAGTTTTTAGCAACAGTTAACAATGTAAGTTCCAATTGTGCTAATTTACATGTCTAATTTCTTGCTACCGACCCAAAACGTTCGCTCGGTTATATATTTGTGGCATGGCAAGTTACTCGAGTCACCCGAAAAAAATTTTACACCCAAAAATTTTACTTAGATATGCATGTCCTACCTGCAATGACTGATCAGTGTTTCTGTAGAAGCTAAGAATATGTTTTACACTGAATGTCTCGTTTAATATGAGAAGTACTTGCTGGAAACAGCTCTGAGTTCAGAGTATCACATCGAATTTTAGCTGGTTGTAGCAATATGTTGCACGAATCGTAATTTTTCTTTGTTTGTTGTAGGTCCAGCAACATGAAATTATCTGCAAAGACTGTGGGAAAAAGTATAATTCAAAGGAGGTTATGAAT